AGGAAGGAGGCTGTTGTGCTGTGTGATTTTAATGTGGGGGAAGACTGATTCTGGGCTGCCGGTTTAAAAACATGTCCCTTTCCAAATCCTTGGCTGGAATGGATTATGGATCCTGGTGGAGGGCAGCCAAAGGTAGCTGGGGCAGGGGAGAGTGGGGGTTGCACCCCTCCCTCCTCATGGCTGGCTCTGCCCAGCCCCCCAGGGTGCCTGACCCCCCCGCCCTCCTGTCTTCCCCAGATGCCATCCCACCCCCCTCCCTCACCTTCTTCACCCCCAAAGTCCGGCTTCCTAGCCAGTGCAGGCTCCATCTGCACCCCTCAGCCCACACCCAGGGTCTGGCTCAGGTGACAGAAGGACAGATGTGAACACGCAGATGCCCGAGCATGGCACCAGGCCCCCAAAGCCCTGAGAACACTGACTGAGTCACAGGTCGGGGAGAGCCAGCCACCAGCCCAACAGTGAGCTCATTGTACCCCCTTCCATCCAGCCTCACTGGTCCACCCCGGCCTCTGGTCTCCACGTGCTACTCTGCACTTCAATACCTGGATTTCCTAAAGCTCTCAGACCTTTGCCAAGCTCTCCTCTAGAATGAGCTTGATGGCAGCTCAATCTGGGGGAGAAATCCAAGATTAAGTCTTTCTTAATACAATCACGGCAACATTCACATGGTCCTCTAACTCACAAGGCATCCTTCAGGGCAGAAGTGCCTCCCGAGCAGGTCGCCCCGCAAAGCAGCAGGGCAGGAGTGCGGGGCAGGCGGGCCAGCTCGGGGTGAGCTGGCTCGGCAGCCCAAGGGCTGGGTTCAAATCCTGACCAGTCACGGACGGGCCTATGCCTCTGGGTAAGCCCCCCAGCCCTGGGGAGTCTCCTGATCTGAGGACATAAGGAACCCAGCAGGGGCCGGCAGACACCAGCAGTCAACAAGCAGGGCTGACTGCTGCGGTGACCACGTCAGTTCTCCCCTGTCCCTGCTTAAAAGCAGCCCACAACTCGCCCTGGCCATCCAGCAGAGCAGGCGCTCCAAAGCAGGAGCCAGCCCGAAGGTCACTCACAAGGGGGCTACAGCAGCCTCTCGGGCACCCCCTGGCCCCCGGAGCCCTCCCTCCTGCCCTGGGCTTGTGTGCCCGCCCCGGCGATGGCACTGGTAGCCCCCCCCCCGGGTGGCTGCAGGACCAGAAAGGGCAGGCTCGGGGACAAGCTAATGAGGGACATCAGTCAGGATGCCACAGCTGAGACACGGCCGCGTCTGCAGGACGTCACCGCTTCTGCACCAGGACACTAACTCCGTCAGGGCTGGGCCCAGTCCCCCTCCCAGGGGAAATCAGACGCAGAAAATAAGACCATTTTCCATGGATCCAGCTATAGAAAACAATAAAGGTTTGTTGGGCCAACGCTGCAGGCTGGGGGCTCGTGGGGTCAGCATGACCACCAGGCTCTGCTCTCCCACGTCCGCCTCGGGGACGGCCGCTCTCTCCCCAAGCGGGTGCTCAGCGCTGCGGGGGCAGTGAGCACCCTGCCGCCCCCGTCCCGCGAGGAAAGTCGCAGCGGTCCCCAGCCAGCGATCACTCCGCTGCGTGGCACTGCCACCACCACCACGGACCCAGCCACAGGCTCCCGAGCCACGGGACCGACAGGCCTGGGCCCCGTGGACTGGGGCGGGGGGAAGATGCAGGCCTCTCACTGCCCACGGCAGCCTCCCACCACAGGCCCCGGCTGTGATCTGCCCCAGACCCCCCGCCCCGCCCCCGCAGCCCGTCTCCAGTCCTCCCCCAAGGATCCTCAGCATGGCTCCCGCCGGGCCTCCCCAGCTCACGCCGCAGTCACACAGGCCTGTGGGAGACCCACACTGCCGTGCCTTCCCTCGGGCCCCTGCTGCCTGGAACGTCCTCCTTCTCATCCACCGCCCAGCTGATGCTCGGTTTTCAAGACTCAGCTCAGGCCTCACCAGCATCCAAGACCCCTTCCCCGATACGGACCTGGACCCTGCAGTCCCACCCACAGTCACACGCACCATGGGGGCCCCTCTCTACACCCCTCACTGACCCCTCCCTGTGACCTCACTCCCTAACGTGTGCACAGGAGTCTCCCTGGTGATGCCAGGAAAGCCTTCAGGGCAGCCCCCCTGTGCTCACCACACATCCTGACCTGTGGGCAAGACCTGGCCTTCAAGAATCCTTCAGAGCATTGCCCATCTCACGTGGCAGCCCTGGGCACAGAGACCGTGGCAGGGCCCTGCCAAAGATCCCGTGCGTCTGGCACCTGCCCCAGCACAGCGACACGGGCAGCCCACGAACCGGCCCGAGTCCTCATGGGGCTCCCCCAAGCCTGCGTTGGACCTAAAAGCAGAGCAGGGCTCCCCCGAGCGTGCTGTGGGTTTGAAGCCAAGTGCACGGTCAGCTTTACCTCACACCTGTCCCCACCAGGCTTCAGGCTGACGGGGACAATCCCGCAGCTGCAACGGGCTTCTGAGGACAGCCCCGGATGGCAGAGAGCGCACTGAACCAAGGGCCCCCTGGGAGGTATCACCATCCCCGTTGGCTCTGCGGACTCAGGCACCTGCGAGGTACAGGTCTGGCTCACGGGCGAGTCCTGTCTTCTCGGCCAGGATGCTGGCCAAGGCAACTAGCTCCCCTCCTGCAAGAGGTTCTCCGGGTGCCACGGCGGGGCCAACAGGCAGCGTGGCGCAGTAAGAATGCGGGTTCAGCTCAGCTCCGTCACCACCAACCTCACTCCTTCACACAGCAGCCATTGGCTTCGGGCCTGGGCCACAGGCGGGCAGCAGAGGTGCGGCTCCCAGGCACGGGCGGCAGGCCGGCGGGCAGTGCACGGAGGCTAGAGCCTCTGCCAAGGCCCCGCTCGGGTGCAGGAGCAGCCCCCTGAGCCCCACATTCCTCACCCAGAACCAGGAACGGCAGCTCCGTTGCCCACCTCACGCACCCAAGTGGGAGACAGGTGTTCACAGCGGGGCGCAGAAGCACGGGCAAGGATCCACGCTGACCGAGCAGGGGTGCGGCCCTCGCTCCTTCTGTCTGTTTGCTCCTCTCCCTATAGGTTCCCGTCACCCAGGACAGGACGTGGCATGGACGTGGGGACTATTCGGGAGCCGGGCAGTGTGGGGCGCTACAGCAGAGAACGCTGAATCCAAGAGGAGGCACAGGTCCGGAGCACCAGCGAGTCTGTCACGAACCACGTGAACCAGATTCTCACAGAGTGAATCACAGCGGGCCTGGGCCTGCAGGCTAACTCCACTCGGAGCACGCAACGCCATCGGAACCAACCCAGGAGCCACAGACACACCTAAGCCATGGCCAGCTGTCCACACGGGAGTCAGAGAAACAAAATGCCCAGGCCTTGCAAGCCGCCACATGTCCCAGCCTGAATGGATGCAATCTAAGGACTTCGCAGTGAAGGACTCAGGGCAAGTTCCCTTTTCTCTGCCCAGTTCTCCACCTGTTCTGGGGGGATAGTCACAGGCCCTTGTCCTGCTCAGCTGCCGGGCTCACTGTGAGGATGAGCTGAGCCCAAGCCTCAAGTGCTGAGGACCAGAACCTGGCACCAGAGTGCCATGTGAGTGTGGCCTGGATGATGAGCGCCACCACCGCCAGGATGTCCACCCACCCTTTCTGGCCAACCAAACCTCGCCCTGCTGCCTGGCCCAGCTCAAATCCCAAATCCTAGGAAGACCTCCCTCCTCTGGGACCCGTAGCACGAATCTAGCCCTTGTATTAAAGGCTCGGGACATGCTTGGTCACAGTTGGAGTCTTCTCCCCCAGCTGGAAGGTAAGTTCCACCTCCCTGCCTCGAGCTTCCCCACATCTTGAACAGACCCCCAGCCGCAACTGCATTCCTCACCATGTTCTCCTTGCTGTTTTATAATGCCATTCCCCTCCCTCATCGAAATCTGTGGGCTGCCCACAACAGACTCTGGGCTGGGCACCCAACATACAAAGATGACGGAGACAGAGGTCCCTGTGCAAACACGCAGGATAAACACAGACACAGATCACCTCAGGGTAATACCCAAGGCAGACTAAGCACCAGGTGTCTATGGGCCATGGGCGTGCGGGTGACCCTCACCCAGGGAGGTTCCAAAGGAGACAACAGGAACACAAGGACATTCCAAGAAGAAGACCTAGCTGTCACGCTAGCGAAGAGACATGGGATGTGCAGGAAACAAGGCCTCTGACACAGCTGGAGTACGTGAGGCAAGTCATAGAAGATGGGGCTGGAGGAACACGCGGGAGCCAGACCCCGACCTTCACCCTAAAGGCAGCAGGGAGCTGGGGAAGGGACTCCAGGGTGCCTGCCTGCCCAGGAGCCTGTAAGCCCCAGACGGCAGCTCCTGTGCAGAGGCACCCACCTCACCTGCGTAGGGACCTTGCCTGGACGCAGTCGGGGCAGCCAGGCCAACAGAGGACAGATGTTGAGGTGGCCCAGCTAAAGCTCCACTTCTTCCAGGAAGCGTCCTTGGATTTGCCCCTCTTCCACAGCCATCTGCAACCGTGAGTTGGGTCCTGAACCTGCATCGTCCTGGGCAGGTATCTGCTGCACCAGATTTCTACTGGGGATCTACCACGCCACAGGTTGAACCTTGAGAGTACCCTTTCCACAGGCTGCGACCCTCCCACACTGACCAGCTTCATCTGTATCCTTGCCCCAAGTCTCTGTCCCTGCTGGGGGTGCAGTGAAGCGCAATCCCCATCCCTGCCTCTCAGGGCCCCCCCCCCACAAGACAGAAAACAAGCAAACGCGTGGCAATGACAGAGGATGGGGTGCTGGCAAGGGAGGGAAGCAGAGGTGGGGCCGAAAACACTGGTGGGAGAGGGCAGTGAGGACCGTCAGCGGGACGTGCCCGCAACAGGTGAGCCGCCATTGCACCAGGACCTAGAAGGGCTGCGAGCGGGCAGGGCGGGAGAGGGAGCCAGGTGAGCTGGGACGGCAGCAGGCCCATCCTGTGCAGCGGCACCCAGAACTTTCTGCGACGGGGCAGTGTTCCATACCTGAGCCACGCGTGGCTGCTGCCGCCACGCTGGACGGCGCACACGGAGCCCCGGGCCCGGGAACCGTGGGACGCCAGCCCCGGGTAGGAGGCCGCCGGAGGTCCCACGGGGCCAGCGCAGAACCGGCGCGGCCCCCAGCGCTCAGAACCGGGAGGAGGCGCCTCGTAAGCCGAACGTGGATGAGGGCGGAAAGGCGCGGACGCGACGGCTTCGAGGGCGTGGGGCTGACGGCCGCCCGTGCGCCCCACAAGTGGGACCCGAGGCCTCAGGGCGACCGCGCGCATGCGCCCTCAGGTGGGTCTCCCCGAACCGGAGCCCTGGGGGGCGGAGCCGCAGCGCCCCCGGCCCGCCCGGCCGCCCCGCCCCTTCCACTGGGGCCACGCCCCCCGGAGGTCCCTCCCCCTCGTGGCGGCCCCGCCCGCAGAGGCCCCACCCCCTTACCCCGCCCCGCCCCCGCGCGCCCCGCGCGCTCCACCCGGCCCCCGGCCCCGCGACCTCGGGCCGCGCGCCCTCCCGGCCAGGCCCGCCTGGCCCCGCCGACCCGACCCGGTCCGACCCCACCGCCTCACCTGGGCCGGGGTGGCTCGCGGGCGCGCTCCGAGAGCTCCCGGCGGGAGGGGCGGTGCAGGGGGCGGAGCAGAGACCTAAACGTCACGTGACGGCCCCTCCCGCGCCGGGCGAACGCCGCGAGGCCGTCCCTCGCCCGTCCGTCGGCCCCGGCGCCTCGCGCCAGCCAATGGCCACCCGAGCCGCGCCGTGCCGTGAACGGCGTGCGCCCGAGGACTACAAGTCCCAGACTGCCCCGCGGAGACGACCGGAAACGGCCGGAGACGGCGGCCGGCTGGGCCACAAAGGCTTCTCAGACTGGTCTCCCTGATGGGCTTCGAGGGCCGCCGACCTCAGGAGCCGCCCGAACGTCCCCGGGGCCGCGCGGTCCCTTCCCCAGCCCTGTGAGATGGCAGGCCCGTTGTCGCACCCGGGCCTCAGTCTCCGCATCCGTGGAACCGAGGCTGGCGGGAGAGGGGAGGAGGAAGAGGGTGACCATGAAAGTGAATTAGACAAGACGTGCCCAGGGCCCGTCCTCAGAGGCCTTTGCCTGGGGCCGCAGCCCCGTGGAGCCCCTTCCCGGGGGCAGCACCTGCCCCTCCAGAGGCCTTGCTGGGGTCGGGCTCCCGGATCCCCGCTGCCTCCCCTGCAGGGATGGGTCCCGCTGGTGGAAGGACCTCGGGCCAGCATGCCCTCTCTCTGAGCCTGCTTCCCCACAGATGAGCCGAGAGCCACAGCGGGGCCGGGAGAGGGGCCTGCGCCAGGGGCGGGTCCTCCTTACCAACTCCTTTGGCCCCGGGCCCAAGGCAGCCTTCTAATACCTGCTGGTGGTCAGCGCCTGGAGGGGCATTTCCGTGGAGGGGTTGGGCAGGGGCAGCCCCCTGTCAGCTGGACTCCCGGAACAGGCCCTGCTTCCTGATGCTCAGGACGTTCCGAGATCTTAGGTTTGTGCACAGATGTGTGTGCACAAGATTTGAGTGTGAACAAGTCCTATGTATGTGTGGGCACTGTGCACACGGACGCTGGGCGAAGGTGTGGGCACAACACGGGTGTGAACAAGTGTGTGAACACAAGGGCGTGTATGCGCGTGTGCTTGGATGAGAGCATGGGGATGATCGCATGTGGTAGGAGTGTGTGAGTGTGTGTGTGTACTCGCACGCGCAGGTGGGAAGGAAAAGGGGCAGCAGCAGGCCAGCATGCATTTGCTCAGATCAGCCTGTGCCCAGTTCATACTCATCGTCACCATGGCCTTGGGGCCAGTAGCGTGTGCCCATTTCACAGAAGCCAGCATTTGGACAGGGCTTCTCACCCTGCTCCTAGGACAGCCGGAAGGCAAAGGGAGCCAGGTCTGGCCCTGCAGAGGCCGTGGCGGTGACTGCTGGCCACAGCTTAGGATGGAAGGCACAGTAGTCTTCAGGCCCCTTCAGAAGGGACGGCTGTGGCTGGCTAGCCGATGGGACTGTCCTGCTTTCTCCTTGTCCTTGTGCTCGCTCCAGAATGCGGGCAGCGTTTGGAGGACAGCAGCCACTTGGGTACCAAGCTGAGGACGGGGAACGTCTGCCCCAACTGCACCCCTGCCTCCTTCCTGCTACTACGGACACCATTCCCAGCAGATACACCCCTGTGCACCTCGAGATGGACCCGTCACCCGTTCAAGTGTGTGTCCTGCCTAGGAGGGGCTTCTGGAGGGCAGGCCCGGACATTTATGCTTGCATGGAGGCGTGTGACGTGGCCTCAGGGAGCAGTGACAAGCATGTGAGTGAGCTCATGAGCTGTACCTGCAGGGCTCACTTTTCACATGGTGCTCCCCGTGTCACGGGTGAGGCAGGCCCAGGCACAAGCTGGGTAGAGGACTGGGTCAATCTGGGAGCTTGGGTGTGCCCAGGCACCTGCGCGGCAGCACCTTGAGAGGGGCGCGGGCTGGGACAGGGCTGGCATGGGCCGGCGCATGGCCCGCTCCACGTCCCCCCGGCCCTTGGAAACCAGACTTGTCACTGCACGGGGCTCCTAGGGAATCAACTCCGTCGTGAGACTTGTAACAGCCTCCCAGGTATTTGACGCCAAGCAGCAGTGGCAAAAAAAAAAAAAAGTAAAAGTAAAAGCAAATCCCTGAGTGTTGTCTTTGCTAATCACATCCTCGGTGAGGGATGTGTTTGTCGCCCCTCCTGGGAAAGGGCCAGCTCATCCCCAGCCCTGAGGGAGGAGGCATCTCCACACCCCAAGGAGCGCGTTCTGCCTGGCTTCCACACCCGCCCCCAGGCTTGCCACCTGGCGGCGTCCCCCTCCTGTCTCACCAAAGCTTCCCCTGTTCACCATCATGTACTCATTCAACAATCTTGGCTTCCACTGTCAGGCAACACACTGGGCCCTGGGGAGACCATACATTTAGATTTGGTTGCTAAGGACAGAAAACCCCAATAACATTGGCTCAGACAGGATCAGTGTTTATTTACCTCTAACACTACACCTATGAAGCCAGATAGGCGGCAGGGCTGCAAATGTGACCTCACAGTCACCAGGACCCCAGATTCCTTTACTCCAGGTGTTCCTCCAGTTAGGTCTTTGGCCGCGTGGCCATCAGGTCTGCTATGCAGACTGCGGGAAGGAGAACGGGACCGTGGGGAGCCTATAGGCACACTCCGACCCCAATCCTGCCCATTGAAGGACACCTCCTAGATCCCCACCCTCTTGGCCAGAGCTGGGTTCCCCCGCCCCTGCAGCGGGCGACTCGGGGGGAGGGGGGTGAGGAAGTGTCTTCCTCTGGAGGCTAAGCTCCCAACTGCCCTCTGGGTCCCTGGGCTTAATCAGCACCACCGCCGATGGGCTCACCTAGCAGTCGGACCTCTGCACCACCACTGATGGCAGAACCCCTTCCACTCCACCAGATGTTCTGCTCCTCATCCCGCAGGTGGGAAACCCAGCCAGGCCAGAAGGGCACACACAGGGCTGCTAGGTGCTCTCTGCGGGACAGCGTCATGGGCCGAGGAGGCAGAGTCCCGCCACTCCCTCTCTTCACAGTCCATGGCACACAGTTTGTGCGGCAGACCCCGGGATGGTGAGCTGAGGACCCTTGCTGGGCACACGGGAGGCCAGCGATAGCTCGCGGTGAGAGCGCGTGAGCAGGAAGGTAAGCTAAGAGGGGCTGTGGCCACGATGCTCGCTGATGCTGATTTCTGTCCCCCTGGACCCGCCACAGCGCCCAGCCTGCCTGGCAATGCGGTGGCCCGCAGCGGCCCGTGGTGGCCCCAGACACAGGATCGTGAGCAGAGCCAGGCACTTCTTCCCACTGCCCTGCTGTCCTTCCAGCCGCCCCGCAGCAGAAGGGCCCAGCCTCTCCAGGCCTCGCGCTGACGCCCCCGGGGCCAAAGGAGGGAGGACCAGGCAGGTGGCTTTCTTAGGAAGTGACTGAGTTTGGGAGGACGAAGTTCGGGTTACAGGAAGTGGACAGAGGCAAAGGCGCTGCCCTCTGCAGGACCCAGGCCTCCATCTTCCTGAGCTCCAGGCGGCACCTGGGGGTTTGGGGAGAGCATGTCAGGCCAGCACCGTTTCCCAGGGGCTCAAGAAGAACAGGACTCCTCATCACAGAGCATGGGGGTGAGGGCTTAAAAATCAGGGGCCAGAGAAGGAGGTGGCAGGGGTGTGAAGGGCAGAGGCGGGCCCCCCTCCACCCCAGACTGCTGTGGGCTCCTGTGGGGGGCACCCACCGAGCATTGTCTCAGGGCGGGGCTGGAAAGGCAAGGCTGGAGACTTCCCATGAGTGAGGAGCGGAGCCCGGGCCCCCAGGGGGCACAGGCTCGGGGACCCTCACACCGAAATTCACCTAGCTACAGCCTGCAACCCACTTTGATTTCCTCCGAGGTGCTCTGCAAATGCGGCACGTCATTCTTTTGATAACGAGGGTCTGTGTCGGGACAGACAGGATCCATCTTCCCTGCCCCTCGTATCCCTCCAGCTGAGCCGCCAGCCCCTGGCCGTGGCCAACCAGCAGCCCCTGTCAGTCCTGTAGCACCTTCCCCAGGGTGTGCAGCTTGACCCCTGGTTCTACCACGTGCCTGCCAGGTGGCCCAGCAAGTCACACACCTGCCCTGAGCCTCAGTTTCCTCATGCGTGTGGGCGGCACAGACCATAATGTGTCCGGCTCTGTGGCGGTAACAGAAGGCTTGAGTGGGTCATGCCTGGAACGCCTTTAGGGGCCCTCAGCCCAGGGCCTGGCCCACTGGAAGCCTGTGGCACATGTGAGCTCGTGGTGCGTCTGATTTATCATTGGTATCTCAGTGGGCACCAGGTACCAGTGCTAGGAGCATATGGGCAGTGCCGCAGAGGATGTCAGAGGAGCAGAGGGGATGGACGGGGCCAAAGAATCAGCTACGGAGCCATGAGTCTGTTGTTGAAGGTATGAGAAAACAGTGCACGATCTGAATACCAGGGTTTCAGAAAGGTTTCCCAGAGAAGGGACATTTGGGCTGGGTGCTGAAGGATGAGTAGGAGTTTGTCAGGCAGGAACAGCATGAACCTGACATGGATGCTGAAGAAGGTTGCCACATCCACCTCCTGTGTCAGTTTCTGCCGAAACTCCTATGTCAAACATAGCTTTCGGGGATTTGCCCAGCCCCCACCTCCCTTCCCCCTTCCAGACACCCATACGCACAAACGCAGTCCCACATGCTCACATTCTCACATTCACAGAGGCAAGACCTGACTTCAGCATGCTACCCCCA